CCTAATAGCGATGACCTCCAACCCAATAGCGATGGCCTCCAACCTAATAGCGATGGCCTCCATCCTAATAGCGATGGCCTCCAACCTAAGAGCGACGGCCTCCATCCTAGTAGCGATGGCCTCCATCCTAGTAGCGATGGCTTCCATCCTACGAGCGATGGCCTCCAACCTAATGGCGAGTGCCTCCATCCTAATAGCGATGGCCTCCAACCTAATAGCGATGGCCTCCATCCTAAGAGCGATGGCCTCCAACCTAATAGCGATGGCCTCCATCCTAATAGCGATGGCCTCCAACCTGATAGCGATGGCCGCGATGGCCTCCAACCTAAGAGCGATCGCCTCCAATCCTAATAGCGATGGCCTCCAACCCAATGCGATGGCCTCCATCCTAATAACGATGGCCTTTAACCTAATAGCGGTGGCCTCCAGCCTAAGAGTGATGACCTCCAACCTAATAGCGATGGCTTCCAACCTAATAATGATGGCCTCCATCCTAAGAGCGATGGCCTCCATCCTAATAGCGTTGCCAAGTGATTCTTCTTGGCTGCTCATTGTGGATCTTAATCACAGCAACAGCTCTAAACAAAATTGACAACTTCCAAAGCTCGGATGTTTGCAGAGTTGGAGAGAGCACAGCATCACCATCTCAACAGTAACGACCATATTGTTTAACTTTTTGTTGTTGCCATCATTTATGCAATGTTTTCTCGGATTGCCATCACCTTGAAACATCAATCAGGCGCGCACTTCCTCCGCTGGCAGTACGTGAAGGAGATTGTTTTTTTCATTTCGGTGGACTTTTCAATCTCCTTGCATCAACTTGATGAGCAGTGGTACTGATCGATCTTTCGTTCATTTTCCCCACCTGCAAAACCTGTGTCAGAAAGTGGATGGAACAAAACCATTGGTCAGCCAACATTTAATCTTTCTGGCACAAGACTCTGATTCATAAGGATGTTTGTTTCTGACACCACTTGGCGGGTTGGGTGGTTTTCGACCATGTAAACTCGGGACCTGGGCTCCTTCAGAAGCACCCATCGAATCCGTTAAAATCGGGAGGTGGGAGACCAGGTGGTTTCGATGGAACAAAAGGCGCTTTCACCTTCCAGAATGGACTGACCAAGCGTTGCTGGAAGCTTTGCTACCGATCCGTTGAGGATTACAGCGATGCTTCTGGGACTGACCGTGCACAACTGCAGCCTGCGCCTGAAAGATGGCGCACCAAGGGGGAAAAGGGAGGCGTGGGTGCGAAGCTAAAGAACCGCACGCCGCAGGTGTAATCATCCTGAGAATAAAAGGGATTTGTGCTTAAATCGATTTAGTTTATGATTATGGATTCTGTCTTTTGGGGCAATGTCACAATGTGTATAACATGCGACTGGCTTGGTCTTGGTGAAAAGATGTAAAGAACTGTAAAGAGTAAAGAGCGACAATTGTTAACAAGAATCCACTTCCCCTTATTACATCCATCTGATCCATCCACAAAGTGAATGAATGGATCAGATGCATGAAATAGGGGACCTTTGGGAATGACTTTCCAAGCAAAAGGAGACAACTACTGACATTACTTATATATACATGGTAGTCTCAGCATGCATGTTTCGGTGAGTTTCCCAGCACATTTTGAGTGAGGATAGGAATCCTAAGAACCTTTGCATCCGTGTCATTAAATCAGCCTCGCTGCTGGCCGTTAGAAGGAAGTGTGCATTGCTCAGTCATGCTCAGCTGGATGTGGACAAAACATTGATGTTAGGCGAACAGCTTGACCCCACAAAATATGACTTACCGTAGCTTGTTTCAGTCTATTACAGTAAATATTACCTGGAAATGCTCAAAGACCGACTTCTAGTTAGCTATGCGTCCTTATCAGTCAACTATGACACATCTAGATACATCTAGCGCTTCGTACAATTTTCGTAAAAATGGGTCTATGACATCTCCAGGCTACCCCTCCTTGGTCACCCTCCTGGTTATCTCTTTCTACACCTCAACCCGGTGAGAAGATGTGTTTTGCAAGAGTGCGAGGTCTTTACTTTTGTTGAAACAGTCGGCGTGACCAGTGCTTGACTTGTGTCAGTGTTTTTTCCACGTTTGCACGTTGAGAGCTGGTGAGTCAGGTTTTCCGGCGCATAAGTTTTATGTAAGACGGTCAAGCAGGTTGTGGTGGATTGTTGTTTCAATCTCCTCGTCGTGCACACAAGTGAGCCCAGAGTGACACAGTCAGTTCGAAGACTGTTTTTTGCTATACCAAGCAGCCCAAAACGTAGACTCTGCTATTCAAGACTCCCGAAAACGCTTCATTCCAGAAGGTTCAAAACAAAACGCTCAGCAGTTTACAAAGCTTCAAACTGAGCTTTTTGAATCAACAAGTCCACACTCGCTCATCGAGGGCTGCTATACTTTCCACATCCCTTTCGAAGTCTATATGCCATCATGCGAGCTCCTTTGAGCTGCACAACAACCACATTTTTGAAAAAGCAATCACTTTTGCTTTGCGAAGGTACTTGCATGCTCGGTTGGTATTGAACCTCGTTCCAGCTGGTGTCACAAACACTTCTTTGAATATTCATCCCAGCTGCCAAGCCAGCAACCTGGAAGATGCTTCTTCTCGCAACATTGCAGCTGAAGGTGCATCCTTCAACTTGGGATTTTACTTTCTCTCCAAAGTCCTGCCCGCTTTCCATGCCAATTGCAGTCCTTGGAAAGAAAACGAAAGCAAAAGAGAAAAGAGCATATCGACCGGTTACCTTCCTGCGATTTCTGCGGCTCTCTCCCAAAAGAATCCCAAAGAGGTATCTTCTGGACAGACATCCACCAGCCCAGCCCCCAGCAGCACCGGACCCTCCGTCGGATGGGTCCCCAAAGTGAGGCTGGTGCAGGTGGTCGGCACGGCCTTCGCGGACTTGGAGTGCTTCCATTGTCACGGCCGGACCGGGACATCGGCGGGAGGTGTTTGGGTCTTGTTTCAATGCGACAGGTGCGACAGGCATAGGGCCAAAGGTGGATTCACATTGACCAGATGGATGATCTAAGGTTCCCAACTGGATCACATGATTACAGTTATGTCATGTTATGTCAATTAGTTCCGTCGGATTCAGTGGTTGAAGTATAGATGAACGTCCCTGCCAGCAGGGTACCCTGCAGGTATGCCCGTGTGTTCTCCTGCAGGTAGCGGAACTCACAGTGCTGGAGGAGCGGAGCATTGCAACGCCACTGGGCAGAACATGTGTGACTATTGGCTTCATAGATCTTCATAGCCTATCCAAGATTATCCAAGTGTGCATATAATGTTTAATATGTTTAATCTACTGTACTTTGTACTGGAGGAGAAAGGACTGGTCTAGGAGCGCCTGCAAAAAGCACGGAAGGGGCTTCAGGAGAACGAGCCGAAATCGGGGGGGTTTGTCTTGCTGTTTTCTTGTTGGATTTGAGCCGAGCTTGGTGAAATTCACAACGGCCACTCCGACGTTCGGTGGGGGGGGCATGGGTTTACCTGGTTGTCCAATGGTGCTGCGCAGGGGTTTAGCCCCAGATTAGCGGCGAATCAACATGCTTTGGAACATGCGCACATGGTTTGTTAAATGAATGATAATAACATTAGTATATAATGTATAATTAGTGTAGCTACTCCTGGACTCATGCACATTCCAAAGGTGATGGAAAGAAAGCACATAGATCATCTAGCAGAACAGACTAAACAGGTTTGGATGATCACTGATCCCAACCATCGCTGAAGCGACGGCCCACGACCGCATGGATTGCCCCAGCAACCGAGGCATGCGGACGGAACGAGTGCGCATCGATCGGCATTTTTGAACGAAGTGCAATAGTACAAATAGACCAGTGATATGAGTCGAGTGGTCTATTTGTTTGTTCAATTTTTGTTGTTGTTCAGAGTCTTTAAAGATGCGTGAGAGTTTCACAGGGTTCAATCCCTTTTACTTGTTGAGTTTCACACAAAGTCACATTCATTCGGAGTTTTGCAGTCTAACAGAGCTTCCTTTTTTGGAGGAGAGCATCATCAGAGCGACCCGCATCGAGTCTTTGTGGGCATCCATGTCGTTGGATCTCCTCTATGGCTGGCACACACCTGGATTCCAGCATGTTGCTTGCTCCCTTATACTTGTAGGACGGACACTCCCAAGGCATCACAGATAAGGGCATGTAAAGTTAACATGGTGGGCCGTCAAGAGAATGCTCTTTCGGGGTGTGAGCTTTCAGCATTTGTGTATCAAATAGGCCCCTTTCCTTGTTTTGCTATCTTTAGTTGGAGGTATTTGGCAGCTGGAGCATCGGACCTCGCAAAATGCAAGCAGGGAGGCCCAAGTTTGTTATGCTCACATGACTCACGGCAGATTTCAACAGGCAAACGAATCTCCCGGAAGGGGTCGTTGACGTTGCTCTTACATTGACATGAAAGGCTCATGAAACCTGTAACCCTCCCGACTCACCATGGATTTGTGGGAAACACGGCCCTCCACCCTCCATAGCCCTCCTGCCGAAAGAAGACACCTCTTCCCAGGACTTTTCCATACTTAAAACCCTTCGACGGTGTGCTTGCAATGCACACGACTCACCACCCACGGTCGATGCTGCCCAGTCCATGCCCTGTGGGCCGCTGGTCCACCCCGGGCGCCGTGGGTCTGGGTGCTTGCCACCGCTTGGTGAACTGCACGGAGCGCGACGTGGAGGCCGACAGATCAAGTGAAGCAGTGTGAGGTGGGTGGGGTTTAGATGGGTGAGGTTGAAGATATTAAAGTTGTTAAAGTAGTATCTGTCTCCTAGAATTAGAACTCCCGGGTATGGTCCGGATGGCAGGCATGATTGAATCTCCGTTTTGCTCCTTTAAGATTCAAGTCATATCCTAGTCCTATAGATAATATGTTAGTATGTCCCAGAATATTGGCCATGTCTGAAACGAGGGCGAATCTCAAAGCTCGGGTGTGTCTCTTCTCATCTCTTATTTGCGATTTCTTTGGAATGCGTTGAAGCTCAACGGGACAGAGGTCATGGGATATTTCTCGTGCTCTCATGAGACTCCTTGTCAGTCTCTGCTCGTCCAGTTAAAATATTTTAATATACAATCTAATCAGCCGGGGAAACACGCAGTGGTAGCCTGGATATAGCTAAACAGTAGTAAGAGGAGCCTCATCCAAAACTTCATCTAGGACCCATTTGTGGGAGACAATCAATGAATGAAAGGATGTCTACTACACTGTAATTACATATGTTTCGGTGGTCGTTGAGCTTTTGAATGGCTCAATGACTCAATGATATAGATAATATACAATGACTGGATGAACTGTAACTTCATCAGGGATTTCTCGTTTGCCCGAATCTTCCGACCTCCGTGTGGGCCGACCTCGTGAGCAGGTTTTCCTGACCAAGTGTGTCAAGGGCAAACAGCAGCAGAAGAGGAGCCTCGCCCACTCTGTGAGACGCTTGGGATGTCTGGGTTCAGAGGAGATGTCTCCTTTGGTTTGCTTAATAAAAAAGATACATTTTTCAGGTCAAAATGATATCAAAGGCAAAGGACGTGATGCGCCCCGCGTTTGTAGATCTTTGTGGAAGAACGGGTCTCCCACTAGTCCAGCGTCAGGTTCTCCCAAAATGACTGCCAAAGGATTGAAAAGCATGAAAAAGGCACATGTTTGTCAATGGTGAGGTCGCCGTCGCATTGCTTTTTGGACGTGACTATATATTGTATATTGGCTCAAAGATTTTCTATTTTTTTCGGGGTTTTGTTGTGGGCAAGGTTTTCATGAGCGAGTTGATCTTCAAGATCAAGTCCACCCGCCCAATGATTATGTTTGTTTTTCTTGGAACGTGAGACCTCCACACATCCTCGGTGGAACATCTGGCGGTAGGAGTTGGCTTCAGCCCATCCGCTGTGATGCCGGCCCCTCAGCGTGGACACGCCCCGAAGAAGCAAACCTAGCAGTAGAACAAGCAGAGTGGAGACCAAACAAATGAGATCCAGTACATTATAGATCATTATTATATATTAGTGTATATTATAGTATAGTGTCGTAGTATCCCTAGGGACGGGCCAAAAAGGTACAGCTTGTTGCAACTTAGCTTGTGCCAGGAACCAGTGTTGAAAGGGCTTCACCAATCTTCTCCATTGCCAGGTGAATGCCAGCGGCGCGCATGCCTTGTTGGCCTCTGGCAAGGCACGGTGGGCTTCCGGACACGGTGGCCATTTCAGGTCAATGGTTCCTTTCCGCGAGGATTGAATAGGATTGAGACATACACTGGGGTTGGAGGCCACCGCTAGGGATCATTGTCATTGTCAGTTGCCTCGGTTCAGAAGACTCTTCGCCTTACCCAAGAGTCTAAAGCCAGAGGAAGGAATGCAGGTCGCAGCCACAACTCCACCCCAGCTCCATTTCTCGCCTCTTCATTCCACCCCTTTTGTGGAAGGCTCCCATCATGTTGACTTAGAGGACAGCAGCAAAAGCATAGTAAAGCACCCTTTGGTCCAAAAGGAAGGAGCACACTTTGGTCCAAACATGAGCACCTTGGGTCCGATTCTACTAGGGCTTACTAGGGGCTCCTGGCCGTACTACTAGGAGCGATCGGACGCTACGTACTTGTCCGACCGGTCTTCAGGGGACGGTCCTCACCGACCAGTCTCCGTCTTCAGATCATGCCCTGCACCACGTGCGAGCCGAACACCGAGCGTGCCTTCAGCGGCAGCGGCGAGTGCCTGTCCGGCCCCAGTTCAGCGGCCGGGAGGTTCCCAATGTGCAAAGCAGATGAGATTGCCCTTGTTACTAGTAGCTTCTATATATATATATAGCTACTAGTAGCGATGCACTTGTTACGAATAGCGATGCACTTGTTACTAGTAGCTGTGTGGCTGTATGCTATACAGACCATGTTTGCTTCTTGCAATCATTGCAGCCAACTGAGGGACAGTTGAAGTATGTACTTACTTACGAACAGTAGCCTGGGAGCACAGATTAATGAAGGTTAACAAAAAGCTTCTTGTTACTAATAGCGATGGCCTCCAACCTAGTAGCGATGGCCTCCACCTAGTAGCGTCCTTGCTACTAGTAGCTTCTTCGACCTGTGAAACAATGTATAACCATGTATAACCATAATATGAACTCCCAACGACAAAGGCATGGGAATGAGCATATGTAAAATGATGTGCAGAGCCGTGATTTGATTGACTTCCTTTCGCAGGGAGAGTTTGAAAGGGGTGCATGTGTGATCTCCAAGTGTTTGGGGGTGGTAGCCCAGGTTTCGTCTCCGTGCCGTATAGTATAGTTTGTAACATACATTGAATGCAAGCTTTTCGACAGTCTTGTATTCATCTCAAGTTAACGGGGTACCATGATTCAGTGTTCATTGGTTCACAGAATATTACCAAACTATAACAAAGCGGTAACGAAACGACAAGGGAAAATGTGCTCATGTGACGAATGGCCCAGATGTGAAGGGCTCCCATTGCTGATATGCAGATTTAAACAGTGTGGCCGCACTCATATGGGAGGTGTTTCCCATTGATGCGATCAGGTTAGAACGGAACATTTTATGTGAAGAACTCCGAAAAGCAATGCCTTTAGCCAATCCATGCAAAACTCATTTGAGGTTTTGCCGATGGCTCATGTGTTTCGCGTGGGCTTCTGACTTGTTGGCTCTTTCGTGTCAAGGTCTTACTAGAACAGGAGCTGTTTGGCGCCGGACCTCCCGTCGCCCAGTCGCGGGGTGTTTGCCTGAGGCCAAAGAGACTCCCCTGCATTACCAACCTAAAACACTATGCCGCCTGGGCCCTCAGGGTCGCCCTATGCAGGTGCTTTTCCACTGTGGGAGTAAGGTTCCGAGCATGACATAGTAGCTTGTAATGTCTTGTGCCATGTTTGCTGAGATAATGTGGGTGGGGAAATATGAAATACATTATACTGTATGTAGATTGTCATGTGCTGTGAAGCTCACTTCCAGCAACCTATCCCATTGGCTCCACTTCTTCAGCAGAAGGCGCAGGCTAACTGAAAGCCCGTTTGGGGCCATGTACTTTGAGGTCAACATAGAAGGTGAAATTGATGAACTTCTGCTGACGGAAAATCTCAGAATTGGGTCCGGGTCAAAGCAAACACCCAAAGCTTGGACGGAGAATTCGATTTTGTGGGGCCTCCCGGCCATGACTCCACCACCCACTTACAGTGTGGCGGCAGGGTTCAGCCCAAGGGTGTTTTGTTCTCTTATTCCTTGCCGGGGTTGGGAATCACTGGTTCTAGGGTGAATCAAGACATCTCGAGTGACGCCGCAAGTCTCAACCTCCACCTTACTGGGCCCACTGCGGTGAGTATATAAGTCCTACCCGTGGCTGTACATCGTTCGTATTTTTTTGAATTGGACTTTGAGGTCTTTGACCATTTTTGACTGGTCTATTTTCTGTCTCTACTTCCCAGGACAGTATGACGAGCAGACACTCAGAGACAAATTCGGGGTTTCTTTCAGCAATTGCCCATGGTGTGAGCCCAACTTAAGATTGACCAAGCTGGTTCAAAGACTAAGTTGAAAAGGATTCTTCAAGCTCTGAATATGCATGATCATAAAATGCCAATATCACTTGCCTCAGAGAGCAATGGTTCATTTCTGCGTGCAAAATCTCCAAATTATTTTGTTCGCACCAGGTCACTCAGCTGTCACTGAGCCGGTGGGAAGAGTGGCCGAAGAACCTCTCACAGAAGGCCCAAGCGTTCAGCGCAGAACCTAAGTTCTCGCTGCTCAAGGCGAAGCTTCGCCTTTTGAACTTTGTTGATAAACTGTATTGCTCGCTGTCATTGCCTTCAGTCTTCAAAGAAGCGGTCTTTATTGACCACAAGTTTTCTGAAAACCAGGACAGTACTTCACAGGAATGACACTGCAGTGGGTTTGCATCAGAAAGTGATTCAAACAGGCATTTTTGTGCACCCATTTCTTTATTGCATCCACAGTGAGTGACTTGCTAGATCATGAGCATCATTCTTCCACAGAAAGCTTTGTACTGGCACATTCAGGACTCCAAATACATTTCCAAGAAGTTGTGGATAGGTCGTCACCACCTTTGGAGAGGTCGAGGGCAACGTCACAGCCTCAGCCAGCGCATGCCAACGCTGTTGGGATGAAGGAATCTGATTGGGATCATGATCGTTTGGAATCTGAGTAGGTGAAGGAAGGAGAGTATGTTATGTTTTTTGACAAAAAACTGGGAAACGATCTGGTCATTCAGTGGCTAGCGCATCGCAATTAAGAACACGTCAACCAGCTGAAATTCCCAGTTTTCATGTTTTTTGATGCACACCGACGGCGGTGGCCCCTTGTGCACTGACTAGCCACTAGTCACTAGCGTTTCTTTTGGCAGTTCAAGTGGGACCCTGAGACTTGGAAGTCACTCTTATTTGCACATTATCTTCAACATTCAACATCCGGACAGACGATGCAAATCCTGGTACCTGCCAATCCTGTTAGATCTTCGATCTCTTGTAAGAAACCAGAAACTGCATGCCATCTTTGTTCTACTAGGGGATCTGATCTGGTGTTAGAATCTGGATCAAAAGGACGGTTTAATCCTTGGAGAATGTTTGAGATATGAGTCATATGAGATATTATTTTGGTTTGTCTCGACGAGGAAATCCCGTTGACTAGATGTTGTCTAGGAATTTAGTAGGCTGTGCGGATGCCACATTTTTGTATTTTGTGGTGGACACATGCTAAACTTATCAAAACTCAAAAGTTCAAAATATCCAGAGTACTGTAGAGTCGAGCTGTACAGTATGCCCTATATCATCATACACCCTATTTTTTGCACGCTAGCTAGTCAGCTAGTCCTTTTGGAGTTGTTCCCTCGGATAGACTGCAACATCCAAAATGCCTTTCTTCCTCACTCACCAAACAGTTCACACTGAGAAACAAGCTGGGGGCCATTGCTCTTACTGTAGGTTGGAAGCCATCGCTCTTAGGTTGGAGGCCATCGCTCTTAGGTTTGTTTTGGCGTGCAATCCAAGGCTGGGCTTTTCAGCGATCTTCTACAGGTGATTGTTTGGATGTTCTAATTTCAGTATTTGAAGACACACTACCCGGTGGCCTCAGTGGAACATGGTGGACTGTTGGCGGCAGTCGCAGCCCAAGGCCAGCATCCCTGGCGGATGGCGACTTTGGCCTGACAATAGCCCTGGTATCGGCATAGGCTGCGGGCAGCTGGGATGGAGACCAAGAGCTGACATGATCTCAGCCTTGAAGGAAGTTTATGGTGGGTTCCCATGCCTACCTGAACGGATAAATATGGATAAATGATTGATGATAAATGACGGGCAATCGAACAATGAAACGGTTCGAGAAGATGAAGCTACATGCTGACTTGGTCTGACTTCGTCTCGACCTGGCCACCCATACCAGGTGCAATCTCTCAACAGGTCCGGAGGCATCTCCAAGGGGGTCTCCAGGTTTCCAGCGTCTTTGAAATCATTCCGAGGCGACATATTTCGATATGTCGCTATTTGTTGATGGCTTTAAGGGTCCGACAAGCTGCCAGAGAAAGCATGGCTCGACCTGAACAGATAGGTGAAACCAGGTGAAAGCCCCAAATAGGACAGCGTGAGAAACCTGGTCTGCTATTTCTCTGCTTGCCGGCCGGCAAGTCCGGGAATAGACAAAGATGACGGCCAAGTGGCCAAAGGTCGACCAAGCGCACCTCTCGCGTGTAAAGGTCCAATCGTGGGTCCTGGTCTCCAGAAGTTCAGAACCATGTTCGATGGTTCGAACCCTTGCCGCCGTGACCGGCGAGCCACTACCAGACATCGGCGTGACCGGCGAGCTGGAAAGCCGCCTGAACCTCATGGTGATGATGTTGATGTCGCCGGGAGACCAGGTGGGTTTGCAGGTGTGTCTACAGTGGTATTGATCCCCCAAGCCTAGGCACAGGAAGAACACAACCTGCATGTCCTTACCATTCCTTACCCATCAGACTATGCTTCGTAGGGCCTGACGGCTCTATTTTGTAGAACCTATTATGGTTCCTCTCAGGTTCGCAGAGGAAGACCAGTCCCACCCAAATACACGTGGAGAAAAAATCCAAGCCAAGCTGTACTCTGATACACACTGATAGTGATGCGCATGTGTTTTGATATGGTTCCACTCGCTTTGATTGCATATTGATGACATGATAATCATGCAGTTTCCAATGTTTGGTTGAACCACGGCCTGATGAAAAGAACAGGACAAGAATAGTCATGCCCTACAGGCCCTATATGTTACAATCATTTACGTGTTTGACCAGGTTTCTTTGGCCCGAGTCGTTGAATCATGCTGAATCGACGTATAGGACATTATCCGACATTGGCATGTGAAACGTCTACCGGGAACATTCCACATCTTAGGGCATTTTCATGACCCCGGCCTCCACTTGGATGAGCTTCGTCATGCAAGCTTTGTGCATTGTTTGCATAGGAATTTCATGCTGCTCGCACGGGAGTTTGGGGCACCTCTCTCTCTCTCTCGCTTGGTGAAGAAGTGTGAGTAGAGTGGCAGAGTTGATAGAGTCATTTTTGTTGTTGGCCTTTTCACCTGGTGCACAGCTCATTTTTTCAGAGGCCAGGGAAGGTGGCCTTCACACTGGAGATTTCGGGCGGATGCCAGCGGAGAGCTCAGACAAAGAAGGTGGTCCCCATTTCACGAAAACAACATCGTCATAAATCAAGTTATAAGTTATAATGAATTTCCCAGGTGACGTTTGGTAAGCATCCACACATAAGTTATGGGGTTTGCCTGCGAATGGCTTCTTTGCATGTCGAAGCTCGCCCCGCATGCCATCGTACGGAAGAAAGCGCTATACAAACGGCGATGTCGGATCCCTGGATCCCAAGAGTACTAGACAAGACCACATGACATGGTAGCTCCTGGCATTACTACTAGGAGCAATTAGCTACTAGGAACAAAGGGCATCGCTACTAGGAGCAAGGACGCTACTAGTAACTAGTAGCTCCTGACATTACTACTAGTAACAAGGGCGCTACTGTTTGACAGTGAAATTATATAGACTGATCTAAAGATTGGCGTGAAACGGTGGATAGATCATGGGGTGAGCCTATTTCTGAGCTGGTGTTCCACTGCAGGACCTGTCCAAGTATTTTGGTCATTCTGCTTGGACTCCGGGACTTGGCCTAGAAAAACATTGAAACACAGACAGACTTTGGCATACATGCCCCAAATCTGTAGAACAGTTCCTCACTCAGGACGGATCTTTGCCCACCAAGTGACGATCCTGCTCGCTTTCGCCACCTGCGTCCGTTCAACCGGTTCCAGGTGGGGCACCGACGTGCAGTTCCTGGTGGACAACGTGGAAGCCGCGCACCTCTCGGGGCTCAACGTGACCAGGTCTCCGAGCGGAAGACCTCGTGTTCCAAGCGACTGGAAGAAGTCGGACACGAGCTGTGTCAGAGAGATGGGACCAGATCGACCTGAATTTTGCGGGGCATCCCCACTATAGATGTACATGTATAGGAGAGGAAACACACCTGGACAGTTTCAGGTTTTAACCTTGGCGACCTTTTTCCACATCCTTGGGTCAGTTTGAGCTTTTGAAGCTGGCCAGGACCTCCATGGCCGGGCAGTGGCGTAGACTTCAGGCGGACAACCACACCAAGCGGCCTGTTCGGGGGAAAATGGACCGCCAATGTTGGACGGACAATTCTTTACCTAGACCCTTGAGTGTACAGTTCCTTTCGTGGATGGTACCTGAACTTCACTTGACTTTGCCAAACCATTCGCGACTCACCTCACGCGACGTCCGTGAACCCATGTGAATCCTCATTCAGAAACCAAGCAAGTTGGCGAATCACCCCCTACGTAGAGGTAATGAACAAGTTTAATCACCCCCGATTCAGGTGGAAGTGCCTTTGTGGCCGGGAGAACACCGCCTCACATGGCGAAGCGGCTCGGAGGCACATGGGCCCCCCATCCAAGATCGAAAGATAACAAGGGCAGCACATGTTCCGACATGCACATCACGTGCACATCACATCCACATCAGGCAGCATCAAGACCTTTCGAGATTTTTGTGGGTATGGAAGAATTGACAAAGAGGATGTGCTAAATGGGTGAAGACCCAAAGACATCCAAAGCATGGTAGGTCAACATCACATCCGTCAGAAGTTTTGGTTGAGAGTTCATTTCTGGGATGCTCCCACATGTAGTTGACAGATTTGGCAGCTTGGACCCAAACTTTTGGCATTGGTTGAAGTAGATTAACATGATGTGATTGGGATGTTGGGGTGTCCCATAGACACAGAACACGCAAGGACCAGTATGCTGGGGCCACGGTGTTAGCCCAGTTGCCCTCATCAGTGAGACAATGGGAGCAGATTCAGATGTCCGAGAATCTAAGGACACTCCCAATAGAAAGCTGTAGTTTCCCGAGGGTCTTCTGCATGTTTGGCCGAAACTCTTTGGCAGGGCTGTTGTTGTCTTCACGGGTCTTTCAATGTTTATCACCAATAGGGCCCTGAGCACATCGATGTGGAAGAACACCCACGGCTCGAAACCCCCACACACACACCAATTGTTGTGTGACAAATTGCAATATTGGCAAACAAAAGGTCAAGGTACTGCTGAAGAATTGCGAAGTGTTGCTCTGAGATATGTTCCGTCCCTTTGTTCTTCCATGTTCTTCCATGTTTGGAAGGGTGTAAAACTGATTTTTTATTGCGTGACTACAGGGGTCTTCGTGCCAAGGTGCTCATCCTGTGCTTGCCACGGCCAGGGCGACAGACGGATGGCGGGATTGCATATTATAGAAGGTCTAGTCAAGTCGAGATAACTCTGACCCTCATTATTTTGTTTCTCTCTCTATATATATATATATACATACACACAATTGTCAAGATACCCAGAACTGCAAGCCCCTCCCTGAAGCGATCAGAGGAGGAAAAGGGCGTAGCTGTCTCGGCAAACGCACCGAACATGCCTTGATGGAGCAAGTGTGAGTCAAAGCCGAACAGGCCTTCTCAGGGACCGTGTCCAGTGAGAGGGAGAGGTTTGACACGAAGTGTTTCACTCGTCGCCTCCACTTCGCTCCATTGTGTTCTTTGTCAGCCATAAATCAGAGGCATACCGAAAGGTAGTGCAGAGAAAGGGTTTTGCAAAAACCTGTTCTACTAACATCGTGGAAGGCGCGGGACATTCGTAGAACCCAAGGCTATTCGTGGACAGTTCGTGGAATCTGGGCCTGTAGGAGAACTGACTGCAACGAAATTCCAGAAACCTTCGCAGAACTTCGTGGAAGGTATTTTTGATGCACTCACTCCGTATAAGCGATTTTTGCTGACCCCCTGTCTCCGCACACCCTCCATCTGGCCTTCAATAAAAGTCTGAATCACCCATATCAAATATCTTAGAATCATATAATATATAACAATACAATATATATATATATACAGTCGGGACATCTGATGGATCTGGAAAGATTTGAACAATTTGCTGCGTGAATGATCTGAATCTCCTCTTGTTGGATATTATTTTAGAGTCTTTTGGTAGTCACATGAACGGACATCTAATTTTCCTGGGATTCTGGAAGCAAGATTAGCCTCCCAAGACCGGCAGCGGCGCTGAGAACATCGAGCACGTGCGCTTGAAGTCCGTGAATGTGACCGGTGCCAGAGGAGGAGGCTGGACGATGCACGTGCCAAAGGAATCGGTGGGGGTTCATTTGGGAATTGGGTCGGCAAAGCGTTTGGCCATATTTGGCCCCAGAGATCTGAAGATTCTTGGAAATCGTTGTCCCCTCAGAGCATGCGACATCTAGTGCGACATCTATAGTACCGTCCTTTAGCCTTTGAGAGACAAAATCGGAAGACTGCTAAAGGAAGGTGGGCGGAGGAAGGTGGACAGCGCATGCGCTTGGGACCACTATTATAAGGGATTGGTGTCAAGCGGTCCAGTAGGTTTGCAACCCCACGTCCATTTTGAGATATATAGTACCATGATGTACCATGTATTTCAATATATTGCCTTTGGCAAGCAAACCATTTCCTTTCTTGGTTGGGCCTTGAAGGAGCTGAGGAGCGAACACCTCATGTTGTCTTCGTGGCGAGGATTTCGAGAAGGGAGGAGGTTTGGTGACCCTTCTGTTCTTTGCAGACCAGGCCACCAGAACAAGCCCTACTAGGAACAATAAGCAACTAGGAACAAGTGCATCGCTACTAGTAACAAGTGCCTTACTAGTAGTAACAATGTTAGCTATTAGAAACAAGTGCATCGCTACTAGGAACAATAAGCAACAACGATAATCGTTATTCATCTCTCCCCTCGGAGATGGTCTGGGCGCGCCCCACGCTGGTTCCGAGATGGACCAAGCCCTGGCTGAGAAAAGCTCTCAATGCTTGTTACATTGTTGGAGCAGTAGATGGAACCAATGGAACCTGTCTAAAAGGATGAGCACTCTAGACTTGCAACATGACTAGTGAAGCCGGATCCTTTGGGACCGTGCTGCCAAAACTTAAAACCCGCGGATGCCATTTCCTCATCTGATCAGGAACATATCGAGGTAAATTGCTGCCGAAAACGATGTTGGCGTTGCTGGATGTACCTGATGCTAGATGGGCCACAATATATTTGATCAAATCGGTCGTCTAGAAGCAAGCAAGGATGAGCACATGTCAATGTGTATTGATTGAATGCTTCTTAGAAGAAAGTTTGACCAAACTTTGTTTCCTGCTGTTTGTATGGCGCTTCTCTTGCCATTTCAGCCTCGTTGAGCTTGAGAGGTGATATCCGATGCCAAAGCTGTCCGAACGGGACACAGGCCAGGAGGGTGGGCAGAAGATAGACTTCAAGGTGCTACTAGCAGCCAGCAACTAGGAAAGTCATTGTGGCTTCATGAGTTTCAGCATGTAGCCTTATGCTTACAAATTATATATTGTTGTCATTAATTTAATTGCGAACTTTGTGCCGTTGGGATTCAATGATATTTGTGTTGTATTTGAACCGTTTAAATCAAAAACATACTCGACAAACCCAATACAAATCAAATGGAGCCCAAGAAGACACACGTGGAGGGCAAGTGCATGAAATCAAGGGACTCAAGCTGGATTGGCTGTTCTTATGTTTAGCCGGCGGTCAGCGTTGTTTTCTAGTTCTGCTGCTGCCTGTTTGCCACACCCTCAAAGGTTCAACTGATCATCTTCAAGTAGCATCGTGTGTTCATTCTTTCTGACCCCCTGTTTTTTCACAGACTTTCCGGCCTCGTTCGCGCCTCCTTTTTCTTGGACCATCTCTGCAAACATGTTCATATTGCCTTTTGTGGCCTTCATTGAGGCAAGTATCAACTTACGTGCCACTGTTTTGCAATGGTTCACTTCCTTTGGCAAATCCAATGCATTTTTCTAGTTGGACCATACCAGTGAATGCATTTTAGGTTCTGATAAGGACCATGCAAAATGAAATTGTTATTGTAAAGGCCTTTTGCTTGGTCTGCAGTCATGGCGGTCTATGCCATGCTGTTAAGACGGTAACTGTGACGTCCAATGACTTGAGCAATGGGCCGAGGCCCTAGCCTCAAAGACTCGCCTGACACAATGAACGCATAGAGGCTGCTGAGGCCGCCAAGAAAATACACATGTTTGACCCCCCTCGCGATTCCTTTTTTTGCTTCCAGTTTGCCGCGGTATGCCGCCGCATATTATGTGCATGAGTCTGGGTCCTGCCCTCCTCCAGCTTAGCTCAGCTCAAGAGATGCTTGATGTCTTTTTTTGCCATTGATGTTCCCTCTTCGCTGTAAAAACATCTCGGCCTTGGTGAATCGATTTAAAGTTAGGTTTCCTCAATCAACTTAGCCAGATGAATCGTGTGACGGCTTTCCTGCATCCTGTCGTAGCTACTCAAGCCTTACTAGCCTACTTAAGCCTAATGCAGCAACCGGGCTTCCAAAGAAGGAGTTGTCTCCTTTCGTTAAACTTCCCAGTCACCCTCGTGGACCCGTTGGGACAAACAGAGCAGGTGGGCGCTGACAAAAGAAGCTGCGAACGTTGCCCAGCCGGACAATACGTTAAACAGGAGGGTCCTGCGATGGTTGTTCGTTGCTTTCAGACATGTTTATAGGTCATGACCAGTCAGTCATTCCAAGTTCCAAGTGGTGGAAATGGGTACTATAGAGAGGGCATTTTAACACGTGAAGCAGGAAGGTGCATGAAGGTGTAGTAAAATGGGAAAGGACAAGTGCCTTCTAGGGTTCCATTGGGTATGTTTCTGAGCTCGCGTGGGCTACTGGCAAGACAAAAAGCGGAAGAACTGCCAAACAAAGTGCTTAGCCCCCCAAAGATTTGGATCCATGTGGACATTATGATGTTCTGATATAACGGTACTTACAGGAAGCTTATTGTGTTTTTTCCTGATTGTTTGCAGGTGTTTTTTTGCTGCTTAATTGGAGTACTATGTTCTTTCTAACGACCGTTTGCGAAAATATGCGAACCTTCCTCCGAACCATGTATATAGAAAGAACATATTTTTGTTTAACTTCATACTGTATGTATACAGGGTTGTATTGCAGGAAACTAAACATACGCCGCGCGTATTGTTGCAGTCTCCTAATCAGATGGAGTTCAAAGGGATGTTCTTTATTGCACAGCTGGAAAATACAGGTCGTATTGCAGCCTACTAATCAAGTGAAGCACAAAAATATGATTACGATGCGGAAGTTATGGACATTTACTATTGCAGTCGACTATTCAGTTGGAACTGAAGAGAAGTCTTGTTTGTTGCTTTGAGATTAGATTGGATTTTGATAAAAGAGATTTGGGAAAGGAATCGACCAGGAGTACTATGAAGTACTTAATGCAAAAAGATGCTTATGTAAACAATAGAAAGCTCTTGTGATGGTATTCTTTTCTAAGGAGGTGCCGTGCATGTTTGCATGTTGAAGGAAGGCTTTGGAGATGGCAGGCTTTATGAAGGAGGACGTGAATACCATAAAACCCAAATTGCTTTCTGATACACCAAACAAGGTTGAAAGTTCCTCCTGCACCTGTATCCAGGACACCCAGAAGTGCACTCTGTGCCCTCCAGGTTGGGGTGAGACAGGGGTGAGATAGGGCTGGGAAGTGGGGTTGGACATGGTGGCGCCGAGTTTCAAGGATTCCCATCCTGTGAATCGGAGGCCAAACTCAGATTGCTGCCTCAAACCCTATGTATGTCATTGTTTATCTATTCTTGTGGGAATGTAAACTAGTTTGTTACCATTGCACTCGCTGGTTTTATCTTGGAAGATAATTTCCACAATGAGTGGGCGATGTCATGCTTTGTTGTACTCCCAACTTAGTTTGTTTGTGGACTTGTCTCAGCAACATGATTCTGATTTCTCCGACATGGCCTAGTGTTGGAGTTTTTCACTGGGGATTAGTGAGGGGGGCTCCTTTGTTTTGGTCCAGGGGTCTTTAATATGAGGTCATAGCGTGTTTTTGGCCCTCTCGCCCTCGAAAGGTCCTCCGAATTGAGTGAAGAAGTCATATCTTCTGGGCGTGTGCCTTTGGGGGACAGACAGTTGTTTTGCCTTGTGCTTCCTCATGATCTTGTGACATTGCTGATTTGGACTTCTTGACATTTGTTGTTGCATCATGATACTGTAACTTTCTTGTCACAGTTGTATGTGTTCTCCATTTTTTCAATGCACTGCGTTCTTAAGTGCTTTTGGTGATCTCAACTCAACCCAGCACTCAGCTGTTCGTGACCTGCAGCTGCTGCTTCGCTGGTGGCTTGCTGCCGCTGCTGCTGGTCTGCTGTTGTTTTGCTGGTGTGCTTCTGGTTTGCTGCTGTCGGGGAAGCACTGCTAAATTAGTCTTGGTCGCCTTGTTTTGCTCTGGGCGGAAAACACTATCTCGCTGTGCGTGTGTGGCTTTTGTCCTATAGTGTCATCCTGCAGCATTCAATTGGGATCATTGGGGTCTTTTAGCAGGATACAAAGCTTTTGACACTTCTGTCTTGATTAACGCTGTGCCAATGGGATGGGGTTGGGTTGGGCATCCATTTTGTTGCAAGATTGATTGATTTCATCGCTTTGCGCATTGCTTGGCTGATATTGATGATTCTGCTATGCTGCGAGACGCTCTGTTCCATTCGGGTTTGTTTGCCCTGATGCGACTTCGTACAATATGATGTGACTTTTCTCGTTTGGAGCCGCTCGATGTGGCTGATGTGACTTAAGCTCAGTGCTCGTATGTGCAATGTGTGCTGTGTGACTCAATCTAGAGTCTAGAGAAAGCTCAAACCCCACTGAACATATGCTTTTACTGCCTTTACCATGCCTTTACCATGCCTCTTGATGCGAAACAGGTGAGGTGGCTGCAGGATTTGGTAGAAAAAGGACCATAGCCAGGAACCCATCAAGATCATCAAGTGGACAACTTGGACAAGACGGATTCAGACTCGCGGGTCGAGTCGGCAACAGGTTTGTTTAGCCCTGCTGCCGGGATGAGCTGCTACAAATGCCCTCAAGGCATGGAACTGAAAGGGAAGGGCGGGAAGATACAGGAAGGGGACCTTTGAGCAGCGTGTTTTCATTGAATGATAGAACCCCCCAGCGTAGGCAAGCCAGAAGCGTATAGGCACTTTACATCACTCGCAACGCACCACTGGGGAGACTAGGAAACCTTGTGGCAATCGACGCGAAAAATCCGATTCCTGGGCCATTCAGAATCGCAGTCCTGTGAGGTTCAATGCAAGTCTGCCCAGTGGCCACATTTGGGGTCGGGATCAAAAAGCCTCCGGCGACCCAAAACTGTTCACTTGTCCCTCCACCCAGTGGGTTTGGGTATAGACCCAAAAATTTGAGTGAGCCCTTGCCCCGCAAGATTTCTGGTCATTTAGGATCATTTTGGAACTGAACCTTGAAGAGGTGTCGCTGGTGCCTTTCAGCTTTACCCACCACCCCGCACCATGACCCACCAGTCTCCTGGTTCACTGGGTCGCCCACATTCACCCACCAATCCATGTTTGTGGACCATTTGGGGTGAAGAAACAGCGGGAAAAACATATTGGCATCATGAAAAGGGAACCAGGCAGTGCGACCAGGCCCATGTTTACCCAATCTTCGTCTCGTCAGTCCCACCCCGGCAGTTCCCTTTTCGTCTCGTCCGGGGCGTCTTCTGACAGTCACTGCGCCACCGGCGGGAGTTCATGGCTTTCTAGGGCATCAGGACTAAACCTTAAAAGCACAGAATGGAGGTCATAAAAAATGAAAAAAAAGACATCTCGTAAAGAGCCCCAGTGTGGACTATATGATATATGTTCATGTTGAGGATCTTCGTCATGTTCGCGGTCCCACCGTGCCGCTGGTCCACTCGTGTTGACCTCGAGGCACTTACAGCCTCTCTGGTGCCACAGAGTGTAAGTTGCTGGCCGCTGGAACTGCGCGATGAGTTCGTTTTCATTTCAGCTTGTTGTTCGTTATAAGTTTCTCGCAAGTCTGGGTGGGTTTGCGCACAGCATTTCCATCATTGGGATTTTGAACCAACCCCTAAAGCTGCAAGGGACAAATCATGATAAATCTGTACCAACAGGACGGAGAAGGGTCACGTTTGGACCGGGACCGGATCGCTTGACTTAGCCCGAGGGGATCCTGAAGACCACGGAGCCCACCGCCGCAAAGGTGGGGTCCGGGAAGCTCCGTTTCGGACCGACCCGATGGCAGGGTTTTTGCATGTTGCGGTGGTTTTCAAGTGTGCAGCTTGGACGTTTGCAGGAGGGTGCGAAATCGGCTTTCAGGGTTTGGGTTTTTGATTGTCCTTTTGATGTATAGATGTAGACTTCCCAGTTTGATGGAGGTTCAGCGAAGATTCACTAGGATTTCAGATGGGGCTTGAGGAAAGCCGGCTTGGATAGTTCATAGTTGGATACCAGCCTACCTTGTGCAGATGTGCACTGTGCATTCGTACATGAATAAGTGCAATACTTCGACGAGTGTACATACATTTCTGAGCACTCGTAGAGTCCCCTTGTGGATTGGATTCACAACGATAAAATACAATAAACGTGTTCGATTATATAATGTATTTGTACATACAGTATTTCTATAAGATACTTGTGATTGAGACAAGATTGGGTAGATCCATCGATCCATACGTAGATCCAGATTGATCCAGATTGTGATTATACCCAGACAGTCAACATCATTCTTCAAAGTCAAACCCTTGTTGCAGACAGTGTGGATGGCCACCGTATCCCGTTTAAGGTGAGCAAGCGCTGCTTTGTTTTGAGACAACATTTGTACCAGGCATGGCATAGACCTAGTGTGTAAAAAGCCACTGAGCACAGCGCTGCTAGCTTGCGCCTTGAGCGTAGAATGTCCAACAATGTGACAATGTGCACACAAAAACATGTGTTTAGTCTAGCTATATAATATATGATGTTCTTATAAACTCAATACTTTGAAGGCAATGCCTTCTCGCAAGACGTGACCTGGACGCAGGTGGACAATCCTCAGGAGGCGCGCTGACTACGTCTTGCGGGGGGTTGTCTAGGGCGGCAGGTTGGAGAGATCGGTTCCGACCCTGTTCCTTTTGGATTGGGAAAAGGTCTTAAAACGCTTTGGTTTAAAGTAACACCGTGTTCAAAACCAAGGTGGTAATCAACCAAGGTGTATTATGGGGGTAGCTTGTGAGCTGCATCTAATGGGTCCTGATCTGGTTTCTATTCTACGTCATTCTACCTCTACAATGGAGCCATCAAGTAGCACTCTTGGGCCGATTGAATTGGGACCTAGCACCTGGAAACTCACATTTTGCTGTGCAGTTGTTTGGGCATGCTCCAGGTTTGTCCAATTACAATTTCACTGTGTGTGGAGCACTTCCATGCTTAGGAAGTTGTTCGGTATTCATTTGGACAGCCTTGGAGAATCTTGGAGAATGGGGAGCCACATCACCTCCGCTGTGTGGCCTGGGTGAAGGGTGGCGAAACATGTCTCACCATGGCTTTCTTCAGCTTTTAGCTGGTTGTATCACAAAGGCTTTTGGGCCTTCGCCACTCCCATTTCATACATGCGTAAGTAAGCTCGAGACAGCTGGCAGCTTTGCCTGGGATGAACCACGGAAATCTGGGCATGTGGAGCACGCGTGCTATGTTGGTAACGGATGTGGCGACATGCAGTGAGCAAGAGATGCTTGTGTATTTTATGTAAGATGTCCAGGGTCCAGGTACGTGGCTCTCCATGATATCACCCTCCACTGTAATCGCCAAAAGAATCAGCTGAATATGACTTCTTTTCAGGGAAACTCTTCCAGGAGCCATGATGAGCCATGTTCCACAATCCACTGTCCTTTTCTTTTTCCTTTGTTTCTAAAAGCGATGGCCACCACCCTAGTAGCGATGGCCTCCACCCTAGTAGCGATGGCCTCCAACCTACTAGCGATGGCCTCCACCCTATGAGCCATGATGAGCCATGTCGTGTTTGTGGCAGGGCAAACTTCCCGCATGTGCGCCGCTGCAGGTGGTAATGAATGCAACAGCAGCAGTCGCGCTCGGGCCTCAAACGCCAAGCGTTCCAGCGGTTCCAGCCATCGTCGTTTCGGTGAATTGAGGACATGTTTTTCAATCGACTTCAACGTAGGATTCGCTGACAAGGTAGGTAGAGTATGGTAGAATTGCTATATTCGTATGTCTCAACACGCAGGGACCAGTCCAATCAATGGGTGTTCATCTATATTCTATATTCATTTTGCCTGAGGTTGTGCTGTAAAGTTGGAACCAAAACATCTATTGAACTAGAATGATACACTTTCTCATGCCAATGTTTGTCGCTCGAGAGAATTCCAGGGAACCTGTCCTTTGGCTAGATAAAACAAGGACCTTGCGATTGGTGCTTGGCAGAGATGCCACAGATTGGATTCCATGTATTCAACACATACCGACCTATATAGTTACTTGAGGTGAGTCTTTTTTTCTCGGGGTTTCTCCGGACCACTGCAGTGGCGGACTCGCCGGTGCCGCTGTCGGTGCGGTGCCGACTCCAGGCACTGGAACCAGGTCACCAAGGGCGTCAGCGGGCCCTTCTTGGTGGCTGGCCGACAATTCCTCATCAACCTCATCAGGTGCAGCATTCGGGCGAACTCGTTGTGGGGGAAGGACCGATTGGGAGGAGTTGTTTCAGCGATACAACCTACTGAGAGTTGTGCGATGGGCGGTTGACTTGTGTAAAGTCATGATTCATGATACTGTATCCACGGCATCCACGAACAGAAAGTATTTCACCAGACTCGCGTGGCAGGCAGGACCAGCTCGGCCGTGTCCTTGCTAATTGCATCTACATAATTTCCAGCCTTCAAGAGGAGTTGCACATTAATTCACAGATTTGCCTTTCCAATCCCTCTTGAGATCCTGGGATTGGAAGCCTCCCATGAATAATTATTGACAAGTTTCTTGACGTTTTGATTCTGTGTTTCATGAACCTTTGCCCACCCATACCACCGAGCATAGTCACTTCCAGACTACCTCTTGTGGCATGACGCGGGCGCTCTAAGGGCTGTGCACATCACCTTTCACAGATTCGATATCCAGGAAGATCCATAGTTGTGCAAGTGTATCAATGTTTCACAGATTGTGTTGTTTTCCTGAAACAGTACCAAAGAATCTACGGATGACGGACGGCTACCTTCCACATTCTAGAGCCACAAAGCAACTGATTTGAGGGTTTGCAATCACATTGAATTCAGACAGGGGGTTGACAATGCCAAGATGGTTTAGCCTTTTTCTCTACCAGGGTCGAACTTGTTGCACAATACCAGGATGATATATATATATAATATACATGTAATATAATATTGAAGTTGCTTGGCAAACTGGGGAAAGATCCACACTCCACAGGAAGTGGTCTTCAACATTGAAGTTCTTAAAGAATCGCTTATGAGACAAACAGATGCCATTTCTGGAGAACCCGAAACTGCTGCAAGCACGGTTTGTCCTAAACAGTTGAGGATGGGGAGGGTAGAACGCAAAGGTCCATAGAATCCCCTTTCCAGGGAATAAGCGCAAGAACACCATGACATGAGAATCCCTCGCAAAGCTCTCAAAGCAACAACGAATATCAACCCTACAATCTTCATCAAGGCTTTATCAGACATCAAGATATCTTAGATGAGGAGCATCGATGTCTTTTTTCCGATGGGTTATATATATATATATATCGTTATATGATGTTATATGGATTTTCCAGTGGAATGTTTGCTGATCTATGGTGGTCCATATTGCTGAAGATACTGAGAAAGAGCCGAAACTCAGCTGGGCCCGAGCAGACCTTCAGGCCGATCGAGTCGGAGGACGGCAGGGCCTTTGTTTGGGAAATTCCACAGGCGTCGGCGTCGGCGGCGCCGTCCTTGCAGTGGCCCGGCTTTCATGGAGCTCTAAACGTGATACATGAGGACACTCTCAAAGGTCCATTTTCCATGTTCCTTTTTGTGACTAGGTAAGAATCAAAGAGAAATGATGCTGGCAGAATTGTATTCTTCTAGCGTAAAATCCTTATTGTTCTTTTTTTTGTCAGGTTCCTGTATCCTATTAGTTCTAGGGTTTTTGAGCAGAATCCCACTCTCCGGGGGTCACCACTTTCTACCAGATGACCCAGCACAGTGAAAGGGCAAGCCAGAGTTCCAGTTAGTCGAGGATAAGTTGGATAAGCTTTTGAGATGTGTTCTCTCTTGGTGAGCAGGTTGCGATTAGTTTGTGTGTGTGCACGTAAACAACACGTCGCTTTTTGTTCAAGACTGAAGGTGTTCTTTTGCATAACTTGAACCATTCAACCGAAAGACGTAGGTCTGCCGCAACCGCAATGGGCGGCCTGCGACGACAGACGCTGAGCAGCACAGGGGTCTGAAGGGGCCAGGAAACTTTCCAATTTCTCAGCAAGCATTCACCTATGCATGGGATTGCATAGGTGGGAACCCAAATCACAGACTTTTTCCGTCCTTGTTCCCAAGTTTTGTTGAAAGAAAGGTCATCCCCTGAAACCAGATAGCAAACTTTGAGGCGTTCAAGGGACTAGGGGACCGCAGTGATCCTTTGGCTTTTAATAACTTTGTTTGCTGAAGTCCCTCAATTCGGCACCACTCCCCGATCCGTGCCACACTGTGGCACATCGTCTTGGACTCCTGTGAAACATTACACTTGAGCCATCATGAAGTGAAGCCTTAAAGTAGAGATGTAAGATTTTGCGGATCAGATCCAGATTCTCTTGCACCCCAAAAATGACCTCTGGGGTTCTTCCTAAAAAGAACCATTTGAGCCAAATGGTGCAATCTTGCGGGGTCTTGACCGAGGCCTCAGTTACCCCGAGCTCGCCGTCGCTGGCCATCCCCGTGGGCATGCAATTGACCAAGGTCGAGGCGGGACCGAGGGACATGGAGAAAGCAAACATGCAAAGCCACACAGACCACAACGGCCGCGGCACGGCCGGCGTTCTGAAGCGTGTGTGACATGAGGCAGTGGCCGAAGGGAACGTCCGTGGTGTACGCTTCCGTTGGACCAAGGAGTTTCAGGCGCTGATGGGAGGGAGGAATGTCATGAGGCAGATTTCTGTGGGATCTCAGGAAGGGGATGGAAGGGACTCATCCTATGCGGTGGGATGGAAACCTGAGCTGCTGTATGGTTTTTGCGAGGACAGCGTAGTGAAATTTGTGAGCAGTCAACTGCAGGAGTTTGGGTTAGTTTGATCATCATCCATCGCTGTTTGTGATGAAGACTGGTCATGGGTGGAAAAGAAAGATGACAGTGTGTATTGTGTTGCACGAATGGAAACAACTCTCAAGGCAGTCAACTTTTAGAGGGGTTCACTGTTCTATCATGTTCTAGTTTGGGGTTACTATGTAAGACTAACTATTATGGTCATTCTAATGATTGAAGTCTACTGATATTCAATCTTTTGGCCATTTGAGCAAATCTGTGCGATCATGTGTGGAATGATTTGTCCCTTATTGTTTGCAGTTGCTGGATAAGCTTTCGATGGGGTATGAAACGACACTGTGCTGTATGAGCAGAACTGATCAATATAATATTCATTAGGCACATTCCTTGCACATTTTTCCAGGGCGGGGGCAATGTTAGGTTCAATTTGACCGTTTCTCTTTTAAACCCCCGATTTGCTTCACTCGCGGACAGCGTGAAGTGACACATGATGACACATGTATAGGTTTGTGGTCGAGTCGTTGTTCTTCGAGCATGCTTGTGAAGCTTCCAGCATGTACCCGGTTGTGACTGTAGTACTTTGCCATGGGTGGTTCCAAGTGAATAGCCTTTGAATGACAATGACATGTGTTTTGGCAAGGACCCTTGGCTTGTATTTTGCAGCCAATAGAAACACTGGAGATGAGATAATGACTGACTACAGGTAGGAACTGAAGGAATGTGCTTGCACACAACAAAGTGCTCGAACTAAGCAGAGCAGCGGTTGATCCTATGAACTGCTTTGTATTTATGTTCTTCTCCTATATGCACCTGTTTGTTTTCTTCCCATGACAGGCCCCTTAAATGTTCTGATTCCTTAGATGGCCTTGCTGCTTCCCCACACGCTGCCAGCCTATCTTTGAGAACAAATCGCTGGCACGGGTGTCCTAAAGAAGCCAGCGAAAGCGTGGGAGTCATTGTAGAGTAGGTGGGGAACTTGTTTGCTTGTTTGTCAGTTGTGTTTTTTTTGAGATATTATCCGTCTCAATTTCATGAGCGAGTTTGCATCAACTACTCGAGGGTAGCAACCTCGAGACAGAGAGGGTATCGAGTACAGTGGTTTGGTCAAGGCTCCGAAAGCAGAACAGACATCCTATTGAAGGATTCTGAGTTTTTGCCGTTACCATCATGTCATTGGAAGATGTTTGGCCCGTTCAGCGAAGGCCTGTCAACAAATTCCAAAATAGCTTCTGCAACAGTGTACTTCCCAACGTTCAAAAACATTACCAAATGGATTTAGCTTTACAATAGGGGTCACCCTCCAAAGACATCCAAAGACCAAAGCGACTGCAGGTTCCTGAATCTTCTGAGTCACCTGCGCATTTCAGTACAAGGTGTTTGCCTTGTATTTCTGAGGTCAAACCAAAAGTTGTGGCCTGTGGTGCTGAGGGACGGCCAGAGGACCGGGTGGAGCTGTCCTCAATCAAGAAAATCACGAGGTTCTTTTTGGAGCAAGCTTTTCATTCTAACACACCTGCTAAATGGGATTCCTCCAGGAGTAGTTGCATAGGACAATGTACTGGTTCTGATTTCGCAAAACAGTCACTCATTTCACTGAGGAAGAGATCAAATTGAGTACTCTCCCGATGAAAGAAAAGCCGAGTCAGCTAAACGGAATGATATATAACTTGTCTTCAGTTGTGCTGAGACCAGTATTGCTTTTTGGAAGTCTTGGGTCGGTATTTATGTATATATATATAATATACATGCCATCACGTATCCCATCGAGCTCTATCCAACTCATCCTGAATCTCTTAGACTAGATGTTACAGCAAACTTCTTCCGGTGGAGTTGGAAGGTCCGTGTCCACGTTCAGGGATGTTCAAGTTGGGTCTCCAATCTTTCTTAGGGAAGCTGTGCGACACAGACCAGCCAAAAAGACGCGCTACTTGTATTCGGGACACCTGTATCAGTTAAGCGTGTCAAGCGGTCCGAATCCAAGCATGAAGACCAGAAGTGCAAGTTGCCCATGGTAACGCCAAGATGACACACATTTTGTCTTATTGATCTTGACGATACTGGTGAAGCCGCTTTGGTGAAGCAGATCGGGAAACACGCAGCAGATCTTGGCACGAATGCCACATGTTGGTCAAAGAGGTTTGTTTTAGATGACAGGAATAAGAATCTTGGCTCCTGGAATTAAGGTTTGTGATCGTTGCCAATTCCAGTACTTTCCAAGTCTCGAAAGTGCAACAGCGCGAAGTCGCAGGTTTCTTTTACCGGATATTACTAAACATCCCATTGTAGGAGTTGGGTCAGCAGATTCATGTCTGGACTTAGACCGCCAGACCCTGAGATTTCGACTGCCGCTCCCCTCGCTTGCTCCCAGTCGAGCGGATGTACACTCGCCGGTTGGTCCGCCGCAGGCGCTCCAAGTGGCCACGCTGTTGCTGCGCTGCGACCCCACGGCGCGTGACCTTGCACCGGAAGCGAGGATGGATCCAAGGGGTTCAAGACTCAGTGCAAGTCTCGCAATCTTGATGTTTGTCTCGGGGGGGGTCCTGTTTTACCAGAGGGGGTGTGATTTTGAAGACATCCTGGTAAGAAAAAGACAGAGAGAGAGAGAGAGAGTGAGAGAGAGAGAGAGCGAGCCTATCTTAGCCTTCGTGGAAGTCTAACGGTTCAGTAAGCTGTTTGAAGGGACCAGGGTTGGGAGTCTAGAATCTCTGGACGAGTTCCACATTCCACACATCAATAACTTAAACTCAACTTCCATTTGAGTTGTGAGAGTACCTTTGGACCATTTGATTCCAAGCTTGCCTTGCACACATTGGTCTAGCCGTCCAAGAGAGATACAGGATGAAACATCTCTCGTGTTCCATATTCATCCATATTCTATACAACTCTGCAATGGTTCGACTGGTACTAAGGGATAGTTCACCTTGACGATCTCAGACTGGCAGGCACGGACAGTTATCGCGGCCAACACGTTCAGCATTAAGCATTCTTTATTGATTGGTCTTGGTCACCCCCAAAGGAGGAACTTCTTCATGTCGTCACTGGAAAATCGGTCCATGCTTCTGTGTTGTCCCAAAAGCGTCTTCGATGATTAAGGTTAAGGGGCGGGAAAGGTGCAGACACGGGCACAGAAGTAGTTATAAACAATAGCGAAAATGCCTTGAACATCAGTGGAATACCAGACATTTGCTTCTGGTGGTTTGCAGCGACATTTGGGACACTGTCCAGCCAGTTGGATTGTTGCGTATCCGCGCTGCAATGAGTAGCTGCGTTTCCAAATGAACGAACCACAACCTTTGCATGTTCAATTGAGCGTTTTTCTTCCTTGGCTCAGATGTCCTGTTGTTACCCTGAAACAAAATCGAAGGACAGGATAAATTACAATACTGTAGAGTTAAGATAGTGCAGATAGTTAAGCTTGTGGAGCAAAAAGCGGAAGAGGAATGATAGCGAATGAGGGGATCCGGATGATCAACAAAGATGTGAAGCAAGATGGTGATAATACATAGCTTAAAGTATCATAAGTATCGAAGTGACATCACCGAAGTGTCTAAAGCTGAATTAAAGACTCTGCGGACAGCTGCTATTTTGTGTCGGATGCAGCATGCAAAAGCAGGTAGATCGTCCCAGCATGCGACTCTGAATGATTGGCCCAGGGCACGGCTCAGGTCTAGGCTAGGGAGAGGCAAAAGGGAAACGCCAGGGGAAAGGCTCGGAGGACCACATCCGACCACAACGCATCAGCAGAACCTCCCATGCCCTGACAAGAGGTGAGTGGGTGAGTGAATGAGAGAGTGTGTGAGTGAGGCAGGAGGAAGGCAGAAGGAAGGGAGGCGGGCTGGATGCACAGTAAAGTAAAGTAAGAACCCCGCAAAAATGCGGGGAAAGAGGCACGGGTCTACATCGTGTGGGTCTACATCGTACAGTCCATAAGTCCATCCATATATTGATCAATCATACATGATCGTATTTTTGGCGTCCCCAGAGAATAAGACCGTCCCCAGAGAATGCGGGATTTCAACAACGTATCCAGTTGCGAGACACATCCAGTTGCAAAGTGGAAGGTCAACTACTACATATACTATACAACACTAGACCGCATAAGACCAAGGACTATTCTTGCTAACAGGACAAGAGCTGTTAGCTCTTTTTTGGATTCCCATCCGCTTGCACTGTACAATCAACTGTTGAAACATGTTTGCTAATGGACACTTGATTATTGCGCCTCCAGTCGTTTTGTTTGTTTGTGGTTTTTGTTTTTGTTGTGTTTTTGTTCGTTTGTTGGTTGGTTTGTTTGAGGTCACCATCATCCATTGCACTTGCTGCATATGTGGGATCACGGCTTGACCAGAAGTTTTGGAATGTCATTGGAAGCAAGAACAGATTCCAGCCACGGTGAAACTCGGGGTGAATTGTCAACTCTTTGTCACAACTGTATGATTCACATATGATCCTGGATGCAACCAGGGGTCCATGAGACGGTGAAACGTATGTGATTATCAGGCCACATCCTGCACACTGCCCATGACTGCGCATCTCTCATCATCTCTCAACATTTGTTTCCTGCGCACGACAGCGCAGGTGGCGGTACCATCTTCAACCAAATGCTGGGCTGCAACAGGGTGGATTTGGAGTGGTGGGGACCCAAGTGGTAACTGCGGTAATTGCGAGATTTCGTGACCTTTGTGGGAGATGGTGGTTGGCGCAAGCAATATGTTTGATGTCCTTTCACTTTGGGCGTTCCATGTTGTTGGACGGCGTGTTGGTCGACATGAACAGACATTTCCACCACGGAACCCCACGTCATGGTGCTTTCGACTCGCCGTCGATGCGGTGTCGTGACGAGACGTCAGTCCCCCGAAGGAGGGACTGATGGTATGAGGTCGACACTGATGGCATGTCCTGCTTGTCAGGCACAAGACTTCGTTGGGACACCCAGGATGCAAGTTTCTGGGAGACCGGCCAAGACTGAGGGGTCTTCCTTGGAGGTTCATGTGCTCCTATCAATCTCCCGTTTTTGCGAGGTTGCCCAGCAGCCAGGTCTGCGGATCTGCCAACTGGCAACCGTTCCCCAGTTTCTACGAGATCATAGAAGATCGGGGTGCACAGCAAAGATGATCCGGTGACCTGGGTTTGGTCTATGTCCTCATTGCCAACGGACTTGGGATGTGCCCGAGTTGCGTGCCCATAACATCTTCAAGTAGACCTTCAAAGCCAAGAGATGTGAGAATCTTCGTTGGCCAAGGTCTTGTGCCTATGATGTTGTAGGTTAAGATTGCCGTTTTGAGAAGCACTTGTCTTGTGACGCTTGTTCTTCTTTTCTGGCTGTTAAGAGGGGCTATGAGGATTAGATGCATACATATACGATACGTTTCTCTTGCTTACTGTAGAGCACTCTCCAGCTAGATATCCCAGACCACTTGAAAACCAAGCTCAGGGCATTTGTCAATGACATGGCAGCTCACAGGAACAATAACCTCCCAGTTGATTTGTCACCTCACAGTTCAGACCCATAACACCACATGCCCTATGGGCAAACACATGGGTTGACCCCTATGCGTTGTACGGTGCCAGCCAGGAATATTGAAGTGACTAAGGTTGATGTTCAGTGTACGACCTTCTGATGAATCTGAATCTGGCATCCCAGACGTTTTGCTCAGTAGCTTGTGGCCAGTAGTAGCCTGTAGCCCGTAGCTATACGTGGTGTGTAGAATTTTTGCATGATTGAGGTCCATCAGTCAGTACCTACAGACTTTCTTCCTTGGAACCCGCTCGGTGGTGACTTTGCGTCAGGCAGCACAGCGCACTGAGTGTGACCAGAACGGCTACCGCCTGGTCAGCTACAAGCTGATGAGGCAAGATGGAACATTTCCGGAAAAAGGGGTAGCGGTCAACAAGTGCCAACAAGGTATGGACTAGAGTTTCCTTTTAGATCTTGACACTGACCATATGGATGACACCATTTAGATTCACCCCGTTTTACATGTGACAAGACCAGCTGCTTTGCATCGGTCCTGTGATGGGAGATCATGTGGCATTATTTGACATCCACATTCAGAGGATCGTTTGGGATACCTCTTGAACCTATATGCCTCTACGGCACACACATATGTATATATATAGTATAATGAAAAAACACATATATATATATAAATATATACACGCCAGACGCTTCTTCGGTGTTCCAAACTGATTTAAACACACACCCATATCCTTCCTCAGGTCCCAGGATTGGTCCCAGGATGCGACGCCAGGCCTTGCATCGGTGGCTTCCGAGCACCACCCGGCTACGAGGCTGGCTTTGTGGCATCGGTGGTCCCAGTGATCCCCAAGCAATCGCGTCCTTGCTCCGTTCGTAGCGATGCCCTTTCTTACTAGTAGTTTCTTCTTTAATTCCGTTGTCCAGTCCGGAGATTCGTCCTTTGGTACATTCTGACAGATTCTGATTCTTTAGTTATGTATATATGGGAATCTGTTTGGGTCTCCCAAATCTAAGCACCACATGTGCGTTCTGTCATATACACCATACACCGTCAAGTCCGTGAATTCTGATGAGACACCAGCTCATGATACTTGCTGTCGCATGCAGGTTGATGCAAGTTCAATGCGGGGGTAGACTCAACAGGTATAGGTAATTAAATTCTAAGTCTATTTATATGTATTTCTTGTTTCTAATAGCTTCTTGCTCCTAGTAGTAAGGCCAGGAGCCCCTAGTAGCTTCTTGTTACTACTAGTAAGGCACTTGTTACTAGAAGCGATGCACTTGTTCCTAGTAGCTTCTTGTTCGTAGGTATACAGCACTTCTCACATCTTCGCACCATCTGCCAGGAGAGTTGTGATGGCAAGGATGTGAGGAGTGTCGTCAAGGGCGTCGAAGAGGCGTGCCATGTTTAGTGTCGAAGAGGTGGATCGACAGAGTGAAGCGTGGCTTAAGGTTCGTGAGCCGCAGACTTGCGTGTTGATGGAAAGACTATTACCAGGACTTCGACGCCTACCCCCATACGGAATCCGATCCCACTACTGGTCCAGTGTTTGTTGCGTCTAGCGAAGTTTGTTCGAAGCAGAGGCTGTTTCACGGGGTGGAGCTGAGCCAAAGGAGTAGCCAAAGGCTACGCTTCCCGTAGTAGCCAAAAGCACCCAATCCGCCGCAATTCCACGCAATCCCTGAGACGGTGAAGCAGAAGTACCCCGTGCGGGCGGTTGTCTTCGCCATTGCTGGGGCGCCCAAAAAGGTTCGACGATGAAGCGCAAACAGCTTTATCATCATTCCTCTTTCAGACTCCAGGCGGGTTGGAAAACAAAGCAAGACCATACGACAAGAGAACAACATACTATGATTGTTTGCTGCCAGGTTGGGATGCGGTGACGTAGAAAGAAGCAGTGGGCGAAAAACCAACCAGCTTCAGAATGGAAGGGGACTGCTTATTGGGGGATCCATGATGATCCATGTGGGGTTGTTGTTTTGTGGCACTCCTAAGGCTACGATCCTGCTTGGCTGCCTTCTGGTGTGCTATGCCAGCCACCTGCATAGGAGCCACCGAACTGAAGCGCCGCTTTGGAGTGCCAAAGCTGCGACGAGGGGCTGAGAGGCATCTCATTGAGAGTTGCCACGATGACGCAAGGCTAGACCGCTAGGCTTGAATGTTTTGAGTAGCACTTACCGGATCAACAAGCAGATTACCAGAGACAGCAGAGAGGAGGCAACCCATTACTACTATCACTCTCATCGGACGGTCGCAGTTGATGGTACGCAGGGCACTCCAACCTATTACATTGTGTGTACTATAGATAGAATAGGGAGACTTCCCAAACACTTTTGGAAACACCAAGCATAGACAAAGGCCATCCAATATCCGATATCCATTGGTTGGACAGTCTCTTTATGAGACTCTGTTAGAATACAAAGATCTGTGATCTGTATACAAGGAAGTTTACGAAAAGTTAGTCCTTTCGGGTTTTGGTTCTTTCGGTTTGGTGCATCTGCTTGACTAAAGCTAGCCTCCCTTTTTTTCCAATGCTTCATTGGTAGGTCAACTGGCTATCCCTTGTAGCCATTCTCTACAGCCTTTACATGGGAAAACCAATACTTTCCATCAGATCGGATCCACTTCCAGTACCGCCGCTTCGAAGGAGTCTCGATCTGAACCAACTTCCATCCATTCTTTTTCAACTCTTCTGACACAATCTTGCCACGCTTGCCACCATCACCACTCTCCTTGGTGCTGGTATCCCTCTTGTCGGAGGGAGCAATTGGCAAGTTGGCTGCCGGCTTTTTCTTGGCAGCAGGTGAAGGGTCCTCTTCCTCCACTGTTTCTTCTGGGACCTCTTCCTCCATCTCTTCCTCCATCTCTTCCTCCATCTCTTCACCCCCCCCCATCAGACTCTTTCACCTCAGGTTTGGGAATCTTCACTTCACGTGTTGGACTGCTTTGACTGGACGGTCGTTTCAAAGCAATCCTTCTCGCTGAAGGCCGCTTCAAAGGAACCGACTTCCTCTCCGTGATCGCTGACGGTTTGGAGTCACCTAACTGAACAGAACCCAGTTGAAACAGTCGCAGTAAGAGCCTGAAGACCTAAAACATCTAAAATACCCCATGCTGGTGGAAAACAGAACTCATTATTCAACTGGGTCCAGTGGCCACCTTTTCCCCTGCCACGTCCACGCCCGCGCCCACGCCCTTTGCTCCGCCCACGGCCTCTGCCCCTTAGCCCAGAAGATTGCTTTTGGGAAGGTGTACGTGATGGAGTTGCAACCATGAGATCACCTGGACGCCCTTTCTGACCGGTTGGTGTTTTTGCTGGTGACCGAAGAGGGTTTGAATAATGTGTGTCGCCAGCAGAAGCAGCTCTATTGGAAGGTGTTGGACCTCCACCAGTCCTCTCAAAACTGTCGTATATGAGTGCCGCAATGTTCACCGTCGCCATTTGCAAAAGTGCTAAAGGTTTGGGAACTAACTATTATATAATGAACAAAAACAATCTGCGGACAACTCATCATGTTGAAATTCAATTTGCTCCCAATTTGGGAGGCCAAACATTGCCAATTCAATGCCTTTTGACAATCAATGACTACTTCACAAGATTTGACAGTCAAACAGCATCCAAGGCGAAAAGATGCCAAAAGAAATGACAACAGCATCAGACTCAGATTGAGTTGGACAGTCATCATTGTCGCTGTCCGTTTTGATCATTGCGCAAATCAACAAAACTTGCAAGGCCCTTGTGGCCCTATACAGGCATGGAGCGTAAGACCCAAAACACATCCTCCAGCAAAGCATGTGCTGCTTGAAAGGTTTGCTGGAGTTTTGTGCATTTTGCACCCGAAGCCAAGTCTTCAAGACTCGTCAACTCATCGAGGGCTGCCGCGAGCTCACCTTCAAGCATCTGTCTTTTGCTTACAGTGTTTGTCCAGCAGGCAATCTTGCATCGGATGCTGGTCATTGCTATCGGATGCACAGTGGTAGTACATTCTCCTTTCTCGAACCAACACGTCAAAGTCGAGATCTGATCCTCTCCACTCATTTGGGCAGTGAAGGTCATGTGTGACATCGCTGAAAGGATTTGGATCATCTCCAAAGCCACGTTCAAATTCTGCTCATTGTCTGCCCAAACATTCCTCAATTTGATGAAGGTCTCGCGGATGTTTTCATGTGCCATATAGGCTTTGCTAGCCATCTCCGCCAAACCCATGAAGGAGAACAGGTTGTCCCAAAACTGCTTCACTTCCACAAACGTCACAGCCATGGCTATCTTTTTTTCTTTGAACGGTGGTCTGGTGCTGGCAACTTTGTCAAAAGCTGTGCTTGAGGCCTAGGCGATACGAATCAGTTGACCGACAGGCCTTACCTCGTGCTTCATGTCGTCTTCCACACCGGCCAAACCAGGAATCAATGAGTCTGAGATGAGTTCAAGAATGAATTTAATCTGCTTATTATATATTATCATTTTATGCCATCATTATGGGTCGGGTGTTATGTGGTAACATCGTTTGTCCGGCACTTAGGGCCTTTGTCGCGCATGCCAGGTCTTTGCGAAGCTTCTGAAACTGTACCACGACTGCACCCTTTCAGCAGTCAGGAAAATCCTCTAATCCAGATAGTTCCTATCGCAGTGGCTGGCAATTGCACTCAGCCAGCGGTAGAGCTTTGCATCTGAAACTGCTACCCTGGCCTTCTACCCAAGTCCATTCGTCTCTCTCAAAATTGGGCTGCCAACGTGCGAACCAGATTCTGATTCTAAAGTGTTTAATACTGAAGTCGACTGATTGATCATCAAAAAGCTGTCGACAGCAACCAAAGGCAAACAAAGAAGCATTGCAATCTGGCATGGAAGAGAAAGCAACAAAACATAACAAAACATAATATCTGGTCCTTTGCTAACTTAAACCAACTGGGCAGTGAAAATGTCCTATTATGTGGTTGTCAATTAGCCAGACTGCACCAGACCAGACCAGCATCTATTTGGTCACTTTAAGGGGCTTGTCCTTGCTCAAGGTCAGGTGCTGGGTGGTACAAACATAAGGCCGTTGAACCTTGAAGCTTTGCCCGACCCTCTCATACCGGAATCTGTAGATGTCCATGAGCAGGTCGCTGTTCCTCTCCAAGCATTTTGAGAAGACATTCTTCGCGGTAATCTTTTCCTCTGATCCACTTGCCGTTCTCGGGTCCCGAACACATTTGAACTTCATTGCAGTCTTGACCTTGATGTTGAACCCATCCTGTCCAGCCTCGAGGTCTTGCTTGCGAGAAATGTCGAGGAAGCTGAACCGATGTTCTGTCAAGCCCTTTTCACGTTCTGCCCGGATGAGCAACTTGTAGAGGGTCACAGTGGAGGAGCCTTGCGCTTCAGCAGCAAAAGAACTTTCATCTAGCTGGATCCATGCCTTGTCGTCCGTGATCACGAAGCGAACCCCTGGATCACTCTCTTCTTCACTGACCCATTGGCCGGTTCCATAACCGCCCACGACGGTATGCCGAGGAAGCGACTTGTCAACTCCACCCAAAAGCCAAATGCTGCCATCTTTCCCCACAATCAACTCCACCTGTCCGATCTCGCTGTTGCACTTGTACTGGACACTAATCTCCTGCTCAAGCTTCGACAATGAGTCCAGAACAGTATGTGAATCAGAAGCAGGTGGCTCTTGATCCTGATCTGTGGAGTTCTCGGCAGTGGATGCCCCAGCACTACTTGTTGCCCTCTCAGTACCCGAGCTTGTAGTCGTAGTTGTGGCCGCAAGGAGTGCAAGGTGCTTCTCCCTCAAAGTATCATATGTAGTCTTGAGCTCCCCAGTTTGAGCCGACCAAAACCTTGGAACTTTATTTGCAACAAAATATCAATCTCAGAAATCACATAAAAACATAATAGGAAGTAAAGAACATCTGAATCTGTCAGTCATCAGTGTCCAACAAAATATGCCCACAGTATAATATACACTACCTCACAGTTCACACACATGAAGTTGAAGACTGACTTCTGAAATAGATCGGAGTAGCCGATGTTCATCTGCTTTGATGTGCATTTTGTCCCCGGAGCGCTCGAGAACCTCAAATTTCACCTCATCCAGGCTGCCCATCGAAGCCTTGGCACCGGGGATGGAATTGATTTCCTGCTCAGTGAGTTCGGGAGCATCCACGGAGTACCTTTGGCCACCGTGCTCGAACTTGCGCTGGATGTAGGCATCGGTGATCTCGCGAGTCAGCCGGGAATGCCCGAAGGTGTCCTTGCTGTTGATCCATCCAACAGATTGATAAAACAAGTTGTCGGTATGGAACCCGCCCTTCAATTCCGTCTTGCTGAGTCTCATCTGGAAAACCTTGGATTGGGAGCCGTGGTGGTTCCAAAACATTGAATTGCAGTCGGACAGTACAGTACAATCACGACAAACAATGTGAGACCTTCTCCCCTGTTCCCAAACAGTTGATTCAAACGCAGGGTGGACGGGCGACTAGTCTTATTCCCTCAAGCTCTGGACATCCGAATCTATCGCTGAGCCGAACTTGTGATGCAATGAGATCACGCGTCTGCCTACTAGTCACTGGTCGAATTAAGTTAATCAGCAGCCAATTCTTTTCATTTGTGAAGCATCGGCTGCAACAGCATAGAGAAAGTAAGGAGGAGGGGCTTTTGGCAGCCCGCTCTTTTTTCTCATGCCTTCCCCTCCCAACAAAACATTGCGACACTGGCCTGGTGATTTGTCGACATAATGGTGAATGAGACAGGCTTCAAGTGCTTCAATTTGTGCAAGCGAATTGCTTGCATGAATGCAAGACATCTCTGTAAAGTTGTTCTCATAGTAATACCGGACCCGAACTTCCAAGCACTGTGATATTCCGATCTTGAACACAGCAAGCTGATCACCGCCATGTCTGTCTCGTAATCGCTGGATTTGTTCCTGCGGGCAGTCTTACTTCTGTTTGTTTGACCGGAATCAACTACTATGGAGGACTGACTGACTGATTCACTCCCCATAAACTCATTGACATACGACAAAGTTTAGAGTCAGTCACAGTCCTGGCAGTGCCGGAGAATCTT